GAAATATTGAACCACATAAATTCTACTGAGAAACTAATTCTTGAATTCTTCGGAACGTTTCATCCCACAAAAATCTGAAAAAGAAGTATTCCCCCGCCGAAAATCTGCTGAAAATAGCCAAAATTTCAGTTTTGGTTCCTAGTTTTAAATGCCCATGGATTTTCCCGCCAATGGCGCTCACAAAACTACTCACGCTCCTCCGCCGATGTTAGCGATCTGGACTAATCTGTGCTATCAGTCGGCATCCCCTGCTTTCTTTATCCGTGGGATGTTGCCGGATTCACTGGAAGGATCCTGATAGGGAACTGTTTCACAACATCAAAATTCGAAGTCATCAAATCTTTTCGATTAAAAAAATTAACAGCCAAAAAAGATAAGAAAATACCGATAGAATCTTTACATCAGTAATTTCGAAGAAAACAACTGGAAAACGATATTTATTAATTATTATTATGTTATGTAGCACAGACTGCTAATTTTCCCAATAATTCCTTTTTTCGAACAAAAGGAATTTTTACGGCAAATTCTGAACCAGGCGCTTTGATTGGTTCAGAGCGGTTCATTCCATTTATTCCGAGTTGAACCAAATTAAGCGGGAATTTCAAATAATTCCGGATATCCTGTTAAACAGATCGTTTCCGTTTCCGGTAAGACAGTGTTGTCAATTTTGTTTCTTTGGTGAAACTGACAACACTGTCTTACCGGAAACGGAAACGATCTGTTTAACAGGATATCCGGAATTATTTGAAATTCCCGCTTAATTTGGCTCAACTCGGAATAAATGGAATGAACCGCTCTGAACCAATCAAAGCGCCTGGTTCAGAATTTGCCGTAAAAATTCCTTTTGCTCGAAAAAAGGAATTATTGGAAAAATAAGCAGTCGCTTCTTTTTCCAGGAAAAAAAAAAAAAAAAAAAAAAAAAAAAAAAAAAAAAAAAAACAGTAGGAGCGAAAGTTTTGAATCGCAATGAGGATACATGATTCCACACTAGCCACACTTTGGCCATTGACATAGGATTTCCCTCATTTGATTAATCAATGAAAACCTGTTGGACGAGGGATCTCAGAGCAATTTATAAAGAGAAATTTCGATGAAACTACGGAGGAATACATTTTGTTGACATAAAACTTGTTTTGGTCTGTGGCAAATCTGAGTTTCCCAATAAGTGTCGTTTTAAAAAACCAAAGTCACAAAAAAAAATAAAAAATGAAAATAAATTGTTTCTGAGAATATAACACTCTTTGAGATAAAAAATCGTAAGTCTAGCACAGCTGATTAGAGACCTGCTATTTAATTGATGGTACAGTACCGTCAGTTGGTCTAACATGAGCCTCGGGGGTAACATGAGCCGTTTGGGGATTTTTTTTTCTCTTGCCTGTGGCAGCACTGTCGCGATAGTAAACAACGAAAACAACACCATGATGTGATAGTGACGTGTCTTGGCGGAATTTCAATGGTATAGAGACACATTTTTCCATCGATAAGAAATTTTTATAAATTATTTAGTTTTTAGAATTTTTTGCCCCTTTTTCTATCTCTGAAACTAACCTCCTTGAAAAGTGACTATCGATAATCAAAGAATAATTTCGCCGGTTGCCGAACCTCACAAATACCTCCAACTTTCATGCCCATGCATTGGATTTTGAACATTTTAGTTTTTGACCGATTTTTTTTGGAAAAACCAAAATTTGGGAATGTTGGAGGTAACTTGAGCCACCCAATTTTCGCAAGTCTTCCAGGAACAATCTATACAGTAATGGTTTTCATGATACATTCTTAGTAAAATTAGCATTCCTTTAGAGCATAAATTAAATCCTTCACGTATCTTTCATATTTACTGTTCGTATTTTTAAGACTTGTATTTTATATATACTTATATAAGAAAAAAAAAAGAAAAAAACACTAAGAAGTGGCCCGAACTGTATGTAACAAGGTAGAGAAATGGTGCTGAGTCCACATCATTTTGAGGGGAAAACAAAGCCAAAAAGTTCCAAAAATTAAAATTAAAGTCAATATTAATTTTATACTTATATATATACTACTATAAATAAAAGTGAATCTAACGTAGCCCAAAATACTACTATATATATATATACTTTTTAAGAACCTTTGACTGATCTCTCTTGACTTTAGGTCCCACATGTCTTGTCGGTGTGCCTTTAAAGTAACTTAGTGCTATTGATTGTTAAATGATTTCCTGTTAGTCACAAGGTTTTAGATGTTAAATGTATTTCTTTGCCTGAAATTTGACGTAAATTGTAGGAAAATTAAAGTTTTGTACGGTTTTAGCCTGGTTTTTAATGTTTTGTAACTCAATTTTTTTTTTAAAAAACTTTTGGGAGGCTCATGTAAGCCTATAGTAGGCTTACATGTGCCTTTAATTTAAAAACAATAGGGTGGCTCATGTTACCCCACCTTGAAGGTAACATGAGCCACCTCAATTTTTTGTTTTTAAAAAATACCCAGTTTGCTGGAAAATTTTTTCAATGGGCTATTCTTACTCTTCTATGTGGGACTGATCTACAACAAAAATTGATTGCATGAAAAAAAAAATTACTGCAAAAATGCAAAGCCTCAAAGTCAAAAACCGGCTCATGTTAGACCAACTGACGGTACCTAAGTACTCATTGAGAAAACTACATTTGATATAATAATTTTGTCTTTTCATCAGGATATTTTTTTTTTTGTTAAGTCAAATTCATAATCTTTAGTCAGGTTTTCACTAAGTATTTGTTCATTGATTTTTAATAAAATAGTCCTAGCAGAATTAAGAAAAATTTCATACATTAGAAAAATTAGAACACTGCATTTCAACTTCATTTTCAAAAAACAATTGCTGTAATAAAAAAATCAAAATACTGCATTTCAATTGCATTTAAAAGTGTCGAACAGTGAGTTCACATTAAGGTGATTCTAGGTGATCTGGAGATGTGATCTGCCACTATGTTGCTCTGCTGCACAGTTTGTGTCTTAGGGAAGTAATGATTATCGAAATGTGCACATTACTTAATGCATGAAACTGATTCATAACGCATGGCAGCATTAATCTTGACCAGTAAGACATCATATTTGTGAGCATTGATTGAAAATTCATAAGGGAAACTACCATAACAGACGTTTGCTCATTTAATCAGTGTGGCATTGAGAGACATTCTTTTAAACATTCGGTCAAAATGTGATATGTGTCATGGTGGTTTCCTACGTACATTTTTAATAAATCTTCGCTAATTTGATGCCATACTACTCAATATTAATGCTGCTACACATTATGGATCAATTTCTTGCATTAAATTGTATGTTACAATAACTATTGCTTACCAAAGACATTGACCGAGTAGTGGCATATTTTGTCCTTAGATCATTTAGGATCACCTTACGGGTACTGAGTTCAGTGAAAATGAAAAAGTTGACTAACTAATTTGAAATCATACTTGAAGGACAGGATGTGAAGTAAATAAATAGAGCCAAAATATTTTCTTTGAAGTACAAGGTTTTATGAGGATACCAGATACAATTGTAGAGACAGATAATCTGGACAGGAGAACATATATAAAAGTAAAAATATGCAAAAAGATGAACAATAATACTGTTTCGATACAGCAAAAAGGCACACATCAAAAGTTTGATTGAACTTTCCGGATGAAAAATCTTCACAGTATGCATGTCCCTTGTTCTTGCGAAAATCACCTTACATAAGCTTACATCAAACAAAAAATATTGACAAAAATATTACTAATACCTAAATTTTCATTAGTTTAGAATTGTAATCAAGGACATAAAACAAAGTAAATTAGTTTTTAAATAAAATTATGGGAGATGGGTTCAAATTAGAATCAGTTTTGATTTTAGAGGTACTACATACAGAAAATTGGTAAATTTTAGGGTATAAATTGGGTTCTCAGTAAAGTTGGGGAATCATTACACGCAAACTTAAAATTGTAAAAGCACACCAGGGATAGATATATTAGAGTTTTTGTGAAAACAGATAAAAAAATCAGTGTACAAAGAAGTTCTAAATAATCTGCGCTACTACAGATGTGGAAAAATAAATTTAAGCTCATGATATCTATAAGGCATTGTTGAAATTTTGTGCTATTTCAGGTTTTCTGTACATGTAAAGGCAACTAAATGGCAAGGACACCTTCCATCAAGTCCTGGTCTGTAATGAAATTGGCTCGAGTCAAAGGACAATGACCGCATTTCCTCTGCGGCGGCTCATCATCGAATATTGGAAAATTCAGATATCGCAGATTGCATCACTGTTTGGACAAATTAATGATGTTTCAGATTACTAGTGATGCTATATGGGCAAGGTTTGCCCTATGCAAGAGGAAAATGGGTCAGTTGCGCTTGTCGCAAAAGTATGTTTTGATAAATACAGATCATAATATAAATACAGATGGCAAAAATAATAAGA